CCTGGCTATTTTTTGGTTGCAGCCGTCATTGTTGTTTGGCGGGCCTGGGCTGGATTCGAACCCGCCACCTTACGTATATGTGGCTGGCGCCTCAGCCACTTGAGCCTCAGGTGCTAAACCATTAGACAGGATTTCAAAGGAATAGTAGCCAAAGTGGGCTGTTGGTAGAAATGCTCAGGATTTTGCACACGACAACAGGTAACCTCTGGCCTCATAATGAAGTCAGGAGCAGTGAGAATTTGCTCCATTTCCCAGGTCTGCCTCTGCTTAGGAAAGAGGTTCCCCTGTAGGACTGGGATGGCCTGTGCAGCAGAGCCACTAGCCAATCCAAGTGACCTACCAGTGAGAGTCAGGGACCAGTTTTTCTCTTGCCCATTCTTTAGCTCATGACTTCACTAAAGAAGAAAAAGATACTGTCCAGTTGGCAGAAGGTAGGTTTGATTTGCGTTGGAAATAGGTACAGAAGAGCCACTGAGCCAGGACCAAGTGTTGTGTGATTCCGACTGCTGAGCTAACCATAGGGCCTCTAACCATCAGTATGGGTATTCAAAACTAAGGCCTGAACAAAAGAGTCCAATTTAGCTCCCAAGACGGAGTGATTATGCCTCAGAGGCACTGCAGATAGTTGTCAACCCAGGAATGAATGCTGAACTCATATGGCAGCTGATCAGAAGCAGAAAGGCAGTGGCTGACACTGGAGACATGAAGGCAAGGGTGGCAGGCACTTAACACCTGTCCATGGTTATGGGGGTGGTACTCCCATACCTGACACATCCTGATTTGTCTGATGTCAGATACAAACTGCATGAAGAAAGAATGACTATTAGAACATAAAAGTCTAACACAATAATTAAGTAAATGAGGTGAAAGCTATATTAATTAGTTTGATGTAAGCACTCCAAATTGTATAAAAAAATCAACACGTTGTACCCCACAAATGCATAAATGTATTCATGATTTATGTGTATATGACTTAATAAAAGGGGAAAAAATGAGAAAACAAAAGAAAGAATGACTATGGAAAAAATAAAGTAAAAATACATATTGTTATTATCCTGACAAATCCACAAGCAGCTCTGCTGAGCATTCTCCATCTGAGGTATATAGCACTCAGGCCATCGACCTGTCTGACTTCAGAAGAATTGCTGGGAAGTGGTTGGGGGGAGGCCTGGAATCTCATTCTTACACCATCTTTGTGGACATAGATGCTGGTGTTCTAGCACATCAGGCTCCTAAAGCGTAGGGTGCTTCCAAAGCTCAGAAATCTTGCCCTGGGCTGTGTATCTCCACAGAAACCTGCCTTTATACTGTGAGAAAGCAGCTTTGTGCCTCTCACTTGATTCTCAATTAGTCTGGCTAGGTCAGCACTGCTAAGAAACATTAGTGATTCTGTGCCTTCCCTAAAGATTATGCTGCTCTGACTCCACCTCTGCTCTCCTGCCCTCAGTAGCAGTGTGGGCTTGTTCATTTTGCTGTGATCAAAGTCTCTTCTTAAGGGCCCCAGAACTCAGCATTTGGAGAATGGGGGATAGCTAAAACCCATAACTTATTGGGCTGAGCACTGAGACCATTACTGAGGCCTGCCTTTGCTATTTGAGAAGATTTCCCATGATAATCTACAAGGATCTGTGATAACTTGAAGCTTAGAGCCACCAAGAGAAATATTCTCAGCACTTCATATGAGAACTTGACCTTTTCTTGGCCTTCCTTCCCTTAGTCTTTCACTGTTATCTGGACTTTTACTCCACCACTCTGGTAACAATCTCACCCTCAGATATGCAGTGTGATGGGGCCTCAGGTCCAGTGATGGGTGTGGGGCCCTCTACCTCCAGGGTTGTGCATGCCAGCAGTGTGTGACTGAGTAGCCAAACCTAAGCAACTTTGGAACCTGAGCTGCAAAAAATGTGCAAGGTGGGATCTGAGCTGTCTACCTTGAGCAGCACAGGAAGGTGCTCTAGGAAGAGGGCAAGTGGATGTTGTGCACCAACCCAGCCTATGTGCTTCCCATTTACAGTAAGGAGCGGGGTTTGGTGGTGAAGTTAGTCAGAAGCCTGCTGCTTAATCCTGAGGGAAACTGCCTAGGATTTGTGAAGAGAGTTCCTGAGTGGGAGAAAGAGTTGGAGTGTGGCGGAAAGGCCTGTGCAGAGGCTAGGGAGAGGGGGCAGCTGCAGGGACATGATGATGGATGGGGCCACAGGGTAGCAGGGGGAGAGTGGGTGCCTAGAGGAGGCAGATGTGGGTGGGTCCCCCCCCATCTACGGTTTCAGTTCCCTATTGTCAACTGTGATCTGAAATATTAAATGAACAATTCAGCAAATAACAATTCATGTTTCAAGTTGCATGCTATTCTGAGTAACATGATGAAATCTTGCTGTCTTCTCCAGCACATGAATCATTCCTTTGTCCAGCCTGTCCACACTGTCAACACTCCCTACCCCTTAGTCACTTGGTAACTTCTTGGTTATCAGACCAACTGTCACGGTATTGCAGTGCTTGTGTTCAAGTCATCCTTATTTTACTTAATTGTTCCATTTTATTAGTTATCTTTGTTAATTTCCTGCTGTGCTTAATTTCTAAACTTTATCAAAGGTATGTATGTATAGGAGAAACAGTATACATGGAGTTTGGTACTATCATTGGTTTCAGGCACCCAATGGAGGTCTTGGAACATCCCCCAAGTACAAGGAAGGACTATGGTTTGTGGCTCCTGGTCGCCTCCCCATCTGCTTCCCTTAACTATTTCAGGGCAGATAGCTCATCTTAGGCCTTTTACAGGTAGAGTATTACAGGAACCAGAGCCAGAGAGACTTGCTTTTTGCTTTTTTCCTGTGAATGGTAAGGCTTGGGAAACAGTTTCATCATGCAAATTATATTTGCTATGATATAATTTTCCTTACATGTATGATTATGGGACATACCTCATTTTTTGTAGTCACTGCCTGGTTGCTCCAGTTGAATTTGGTTTAGGATTCATTCTCAGTATATCAAAGTCCATGTGCTTTGGTTTTTCCTCAGAATCTAAAGCTGGAAGGAACAGAGGACCTTTCTGATGTTCTTGTGAGGCAAGGAGTCTGAATTCCCTGCCGAGAAGTCAGCAGCAGGAGGCTCTTCACTTTTTCAGTGGCCGGGACATCCCCACTCTGAGTGAAGGAAAGATGGAGTGGGCTTGTGGCAAGGCTGTCATCAACTATCAAAGTGCCTTTATGCCTGATGCTCTTCCCTTTGTCTCCAGTGCAGTCTGGGTGCCTGCACTCTGAAGCTCTGTCCTTGACTGATGACAGCTTTCTGTCCTATGGTGACCACCTAGGAGTGGGGAGGGCAGAGAGGATGAGGGTTCTATTCTGGATTATGAAAACCTATATCAATGTATAATTTTAGTCTCCTAAATTGATGTGTGGTACTTTTTAAACTTTACTGTTATAAAAAACAATTTTCAGTAGGCACTTAATGTTGTCCTTAAAGAGCTACCTAATCCACATACATAAAATACAACATTTGTACACTTATAAATGTATATATAATGCTTAAAAATAAAATCATTCTGAATAATATGCCTGGCAAAATATTTCAGTGTCCACTAGATAAGTATTAGATCTGGTCTTCATCCGAAAGGGAATGCAGTCCTGTTAGCAATCCGGGATATGCACGTGTTTGTATAAGGCAGGCTGTGCTTAAGGGCTAAGATGATTTGCCTCAGAGGGGAATGGAGGAGAGGGAAATCACTAGCTGGAGATAAAGATCTCAGTATTGGGTCTATGGTTTTGTTTTTTTGTTCTGTTTTATTTTTTTGTTTTTTGACAGAGTCTCACTAAAGACTAGTGTACAATAGTATCAACCTAGCTAACAGCAATCTCAAACTCTCAGGTTCAAGTGATCCTCCTGTCTCAGCCTCCTCAGTAGCTGGGACTATAGGCACCCATGACAATGCCCAGCTAATTTTTCTATTTTTAGTAGAGGCAGGGTCTTGCTCTTGCTCAAAGTGGTCATGAACTCCTGAATTCAAGGAATCCTCCTGCCTTGGCCTCCCAGAGTGCTAGGATTACAGGCATGAGCCATGCCTGGCCTGGGTCCATGTCTAAATGCCTACAAATTCTGCTGGAGGGCAATGGTAGTAACAATTACTAACATCTATTAAGTGTTAACTAGTTCTCTTCTGTGAATTACTTCATTTAGCCTTCTCTGAATCCCTCTAAGGAATGTACTATTATTACTCCCATGTTACAGAGGAGGGAACAGGTACACAGAGGTGAAGTTACTTGCCTAAGGGCAGCCAGTTGACTGTGGGGACCAGGTAATCTCCCTCCAGACTCTGCTCTTAGCTACTCCACCATAAGCTGCTCTAGTCATCCAGGCTCAGTAGCCGATGGAGAGCAATGCTAAGTGGGGTTCGTTCAGTTCCACAGAATTCAGCACACTCACAAATGTAAAATTTCTTCCCATAAATTCAAGAAAATAAGGAATGAGCTTGCAATTTGGAACAATATTGCTGATCCAAGTAATTATTGACTGGTCCTAGGTCTCTACCAGAGCACCTGTCACCATTCATTGGCTAACTAGAGATGTTGGATGATAGCCCAGAAGCAGTGAAGAATATAATTGGCAATTAGTTCTGATAATAACTTGCTCTTATGCCAAAAACCACCCAAAACAAAAACAATTCCCTTCTCCCAGGAATGTACCTTCTGAATGGTGTCCAAAATATTACCCTTTGTGCTCTAATGAGAGGGTTAGACTTGAGAAAATGCTTTGATAGGAAAAACAGTGATGCCACAGGGTGGGGAACCACACCCTGTCTTGCTGGTGCTAAAGTCTCTAACATTGTTTTCCAGGCCATGTAAGTACTGGGCCTCTTGCTCTCTTTTTACTCTTGAAAGTACAACTGGCCAACCTCATTCCCTCAATTAGTAACACTAATGGGGTTGGTACCAGCTTCTTTAATAAAATCCCATCTCTCTACCACCCTGCTTCTCCCAAGCTTCTCCCCCTTAGTTACATGATAGCTGTGGGCTATGTGTGCTATTGTCTGAATGTTTTTGTCCTAAAAATCATTTTGGAATCTAATCCCCAATGTGATAGTATCATGAGGTAAAGCCATTGGTAAATTCCATTTCCTTATAGATTGTCTACTTTGGGATATTCTGTTTAGATCATGAGGGCAGAGCCCACCAGGAATTAATGCCCTTACAAAAAGGCTCACAGGAGCTTATTTGCCTCTTTTGCCCTTCCACCAAGTGACCAAGCAATGAGAAGATGCCATCTATGAGGGATGAGCCCTCACCAGACACCAAATCTGCTGGTGATTTGATCTTGGACTTCCCATCCTTTAAGAGCAATAAATTTGTTACTTATGGCTCGGTGCCCATAGCTCAGTGGTTAGGGGGCCAGCCACATAACACCGAGGCTGGCAGGTTCAAACCAGCCTGGGCCTGCTACACAACAATGACAACAACAACCACAACAGAAAAAATAGCTGGACATTGTGGTGGGCAACTGTAGTCCCCGCTGCTTGGGAGGCTGAGGCAAGAGAATTGCTTAAGCCCCAGAGTTTGAGGTTGCTATCAGCTGTGATGTCAGAGCACTCTAAGGAATGTAACAGTGAGACTGTCTCAAAAAAAAATTAAAAATGTATTACTTGATGAATTACCCAGTCTAAGGTATTTTGTTATAGCAGCTCAAACAAAGACAACACAATCGGTGTGCAAGAAGTTTATTTTATTTTATTGTTACTTTGTTATCCTTGATAGAGTACCACAGCATCTTAGCTCACAGCAACCTCAAACTCTTGGGCTCAAGTGATGCTCTTGCCTCAGCCTCTCGAGTAGTTGGGACTATAGGTACCAACCACAATGCCTGGCTATTTTTAGAGACAGGATCTCCCTCTTGCTCAGACTGGTCTTGAGGTCCTGAGCTCAAGCAATCCACCTGCTTCAACCTCCCAGAGTGCTAGGATTACAGGTATGAACATCCGCACCCCATGAAAAGTTTATTTTATATAAAATACATTAGGAGGTAGGTAGTTTAGGGTTGGAAGGACAGTTCCATAAAATTATGAAACCAAAGATCCTGCCACCTCTCCTCTCTGCCATCCCCAATGTATAACACTTCTTCATGTATTCAGCCATCACACCTATGGTCTAAGCAGCAAGATAAGGGATTGGGGAAGAAGGGAACTGCTCCTGCCTGTTAAATTGGCTGGGGTGGGGGGCACAGCATGAATTTTTTTTTTTTTGAGACAGTCTCACTTTGTCACCCTGAGTAGAGTGCTGTGGCATCATTATAGCTCCCAGTAACCTCAGTCTGTTAGGCTTATGAGATCTACTTGCCTCAGGCACCTACCATGTCACCCAGCTAGTTTTTTTTTTATTTTTAGTAGAGATGGGGATTTCGTTCTTGCTCAGGCTGGTCTCCAACTCAGGAGCTCAAGCAATCCACCCATCTTTGGCTTCCTGGAATACTAGGATTCCAGGTGTGAGCCACTGTGCCCAACCAATATTCTTATATCTAACTAGAATAATCACATGGTCATATCTGGCTATAATATAGTCCTGGTTAGCTGGTGCTGTGATCTGAATGTGTCTCCCAAATTTCATGTGTTGGAAACATAAACTCCAATGTGGCAGTACTGAGAAGTGATGAATTCAGGATTCATGGATTAATGGGTTATCATGGGAATGGAATTGATGGGTTTATAAGAGGCAGAGACCTGAGCAAGCATGTTAGCTCACTTAGCCCTCTCCCCTTGTGATGCCCTGTGCTGCCTTAGGACACTGCAGAGTCCCCACCAGCAGAGAAGGGCCTTCCCAGACGCAGCTCCTCAACTTGAGACTACTCAGCCTCCGTAATTGTAAGAAATAAATTCCATTTCCTTATAGATTGTCTAGTTTGGGATATTCTGTTATAAGCAACAGAAAATCCATTAATAGAGGTGCAATGAGGTGATGCCAGGAGGCATGCTCTGACTGAATGCCGCCATGGTGATGCCAAGGCTCTATATCTGATTAGATCCTGGATCCTGCCATGAGGTATATCCACTGTTTTGTGGTTTTGTTTTTTTTTTTTTTACATAAGGTCCTACTTTGTCGTCCAGGCTAAAGTACAATGGAATCATCATAGCTCACTGCAACATCAGTCTCCTGGGCTCAAGCAATCCTTCCTCCTTAACCTCTCAAGTAGGTGGGACTATGGGTGCACGCCACCACGCCCAACTAAATTTTCTATTTTTTATAGAGATAGGATCTTGCTATATTGCTCAGGGTGGTTTCAAATTCCTGGCCTCAAGCAATCCTTCTGCCTTGGCTTCCTGAAATGCTGGGATTATAGAGAGAAGGCACTACATCTGGCTAATTTTTTATAAAGACAGGATCTCTCTATGTTTCACCTCAGATTACAGGGTGAGCCACTGCACCCAGCCAATTTATGATTCCTAATGGCACCAAATTGAGCTGCTAAAATAGCCAAGTTTGGAGTTGCCCTGCCCTAGGACTGCCATGATATGGGATGGTACAACCTCCTTCTTCAGACTATTTGGATAGTTGCTCATGGCTGCGAGCATCCTAACAGACATAAGAGGAGTCCATTCCCAGCTACCAAATTCAAATCAGAAAATCTCTTAATTTTCTTCTCAATTATCAGTGTATTGATCAGAAAGGGATTGTTAATAAATAAATAAATACAGTGCATTGCTATGCTCCCTTGGCCATACCTTGCTCTTGCAGGGGTATGTGTTGAGCCTTCTCAGCCAATTACTGGAAATCTTGGCTGAAAAGAGTCTTGGCATCAGCCACCCCAGCTCTTACCAAACATGAACACTTCCACTGAGAGGAGGGCAGAGGGCATACATTTGGATTTTGCCCTTCTTGCAATGAGGGATGTCACTGCATAGTTCCAGACGGTAAGTCAACAACAGGAATGAAGCAGCCACAATGGAAATGCTCAGCCTCTGGCAAACCCTGGCAAGTCACTTCTGTCCCACTGCCCCTCAGCAACTCATGAATAAACACCAGCCTCCTCCAGCTGGTGTGGTTTTATCCATCCCACTGAAAACAATGGCTCCACTATGCTGGCCAGGCAAGAGCAAGCTGTTTGCACCCTACACTCATTCAGACTCATTCTGCCTCTCCTAGTGTGACCTGGGGACACTGATAGCCCTATGACGCCAACACCCACATGCTGGCTGAAAGGACCCATGCCTTCTAATCTCTCTCAAGCAGTAACACTAAATGGCCATCTGAAAGGACATGTGAGGCTGGAGTGAGAGTCCTTTCTCTAATTGCCTGCCCAGTACCTACTAAGGGACTCTGTCCTGCAGAGAGTCTGTGGGGCTTCCAGCCAGGCTAGCACTGGTCTGGAA